ACTCTATAGAAACCTGCATCTGAGTGGACAAGGGTGGAATAAGGAGCAGTGATTGGTGCTTAGGGCGGAGTCCAGGGAGAGGAGGGGGCAGAGCTGAGATCCAGGACGTCTCCAGTTCCTCCCAGCACCTCCCTTCATTACCCCCCCCCCCCGCCCCAGAGCATGTTCCCGTCACTTGCAAGTGGCAGTGGGTATCAACTATTCAATTATTTTCAAATAGTTGAGCTCAGGTCTGGATTGAATAAATCACATTGATGCCAATTTCCAGGGAAGTCCTTTCATATTTTATGACTCGCCCCCACCTTTCCTCCCTTCCTTCCCTGTGTTCCTGTTAACGAACCCGGAGCCTGCTGAATACAGCTTGGATGTCCCCATGGCTAAGCCCCAGATGGAAATGCTGCTGCTGAAAGCATCGTGGTTTGGGTTTTTTTTTCCTTTCCCTCCTCACAGTCCTGGGGAAATTGATATGCAGGCAGGATTAGGCTTTGTTTAAATCTCAGCCCTGGCTTCTGAAAGAATACATTATCCAAATCGGTGCATGTGGATAAAATTCTGCAAAACTCTGTTGTGTCGCGTGTGGCTTGCCAATGAGGTGTCCAGCCGGGTCGTATGCAGCATAAATGCCCAGGATCAGAAAGTAGAACCATGGAAAACCATCCACTAGGGGATAAATCTGGAGCCAACAATTTATCCTGCTGGTGGTGGAAGGTAGGCCTCCCACGTCCCTCTGCCACCATCATGGCCACCCCAAAATGCCATCTAACTCCAGTCCTGGGCACAGGCGCTGCTTTCTCCCTTCTTTTCAGCTCCTTCAGAATTAGGATTTGTTGAAAGAACTGATTGAACATGAATTTGGAGACCAGAGTTTTTTTTTTATTTTTATTTTGTAAACAGGTTTTATAGGAACCAGGTCTGACTTGAAATTTGGGAATCTGGAACTGTTAGAGAAAGAACTGGATTTAGATGTGGGTGTTCCAGTGTTTCTATCAGTCTTGAATCTTTTCTGTGACTTAGGGCACAGAGGGAAAGGACTCATTGGTGATGATTTGGGAGCCACTGCAGTCCCGCTTGCTCTTTAAATGTTAGAGTTTTAATGATTTAGGAACCAAAAGAATAACTAAGGAGCCCAGCAGTCATTATCTCAAATAATGAGACTTTTTAATGCAAAATCAATGTTTGTTATAATGAAAATAGATTCCTCAGCTCCTGCAGGGCCAAATGTACAAATCTTTTCTACTGTTAAATAAAATGTGACGGCTCGTTTTCAGGGGGATGGTGAGCATTTTTATTCAAGAGTAAAAATAAAATGTCAGAACTTATTTACTTTTATTAAGTGCTCATTCTCAATCAGATGTTCTAATCAATATCTAATTGGTGGTGAGGAAGCGAAAATAATTTTTACGCCAAGTTGGAGAACGGAAGGAAAGTAGAAGGGAAGAAGGTGAGAGAAAGCCACCTAGTATATTTTTAGTTATAATAGTAGCCAATTTTATTGAGCAGGTGCATAGCACTAGGATTGTGCTAAACGCTTTGCCTCTGTTGCAAATACCTTCACAGTCATATACCTTCACAGTGATCCTATGAGGTCAGCACTCTTGTTGTCCTTATTTACAGGTGGGAAAACTGGGGCTTAGAGAAAACAATTACCCACAGTCTTATGTTTATCGAGTGGTGGAGCCAAGTATGTCTGACCCCTAAAGCCCTAGCTCTTAATTACTCTATTTATAATATCTATCTTCTTTATCTACCCTTTTAGAAAAATCTTTTATTTTTAAAAAATTAGTCATTCTTGAGGGGTTAGCTCTACCAGTAGCTGAAGTTTTACTCCTGTGAGCATTGAAACTGCAAACGTAAAATAATTTTGGAAGGTAAAAGTTTTCCTCAAATACATTACATACTTCTCTGTCCTGGGAAACAGAGTACATTGAACATAATTTAACTTATTATTATTTTTTATGGTGACTCAGAACTGGTTCCCAGACTCAGTTCTGATGTAAGGACTCTGTAGTGTAACAGGCGAAACAAGACATGAGAAGTGAGTTGAAATCCTGGCTCTAATGCCTGGTACTGTGTACTTGGGACAAGCCTCCTGCTCTCTGAGAGAGGAAGGACCTGGTAATGCGCTATGATTTTAAGTTACAGGGAGATCGATTACATCAACTTAAGGAAGAACCTTCTAAGAGTTATCTGAAAAATGTCTCAGCTGCCTCATGAGGGAGAGAATGCCCCATTCTTGGACATGTTCAATCCAGATCAATTATGGAGATGATTTAGACAATAAGGAATTAGGCTAGCTATCTTCTAGGTGGGGTCAGCAAACTTTTTCTATAAAGGACCAAAAAGTAACCATTTCAGGTTTTGTAGACCATACAGTCTCTGTCCCAACTACTCAACTCTCTTCTTGTAGAGCAAAAGTAGCCAAAGATAGTATGCAAGCGAATGAGTTGTGGCTGAGTTTCAATAAAACTTTATTTATAAAGATAGGTGGAAGGTCAGCACAGGTCATGATTTGCCAACCCCTGTTCTAGGCTCTTCTAATTAGAAACTCGGTGATTCTCTTATTGTCTCTTTAGTCACTGTGCCGGGCTGATCACTGGCACTTGGGCCTTCCATAATCAATAGTAATGAGTTAACTCTTACATAATTCTTACTAGGTGCCAGGCATCTTTCCAAGTTCTTTATATGTAGTAGTAATTCCTCTAATGCTCACAGCAATCTTATAAAGTGGGTACCAATATTATCATTGTTCCCATTTTACACATGAGGCTACTGAGGCACAGAGAGGTTAAGTAGCTCACACGGATTCATGCAGCTTGCATGTGGTGAAGTTGGCTGCAAACCCAGGCAGTGTGGCTTCAGAGCCTGTGTTGCCGACCATTATATGACCAGCCATTTACTACATCACCTGGGGTAAGTTACCGTTCCTCATCAAATGGCATGTCCTGTCTGTATAGCCTACCAGCTGTGTGACCTCAGGCAACTCACCTACCTTCTCTGAACTTTGGCTTCCTTGCCAGGCAATGGGAATAATGATATTGACTACACAGGGCTTTTGTGAGGCTGCAGGTGATTATGAAAGCTCCTTATTTAGGGTCTGGAACACAGCAGTTGCTCAGAGGATGCTAACTGCTGCCTCTCCCTTAGCCATTTCTGGAGAATCTAGGGCTTGCTGAGAATCAAAGAGAGGGCCTTGTCCTAGCAATCAAAGCGACAAGTTCCCACTGTCTCCTAAAGCATCTTTTTTTTTTTAACCTCAAAGAGTTTGTTGTAAAATTGTATTTTTCCTACAAGCAGTGCTCTGGCCCTCGTTGCTGAGTGGCTGGTCTGAATTATGCCCTTGGCATAGGGTCTGAATCTTTCTGGAGGTGCTTTCTATGACCTGCATAGGGTCTGAGCTGGGAACTCTGACCCCAGGTTTTGGTCAGAGTGGTGTAGAGCCATAAAAACATGGGGACCATCCCTTTGGCCATCACACCATGAGATAAGGGATATAAAGCATTTATATATTACCTGGCTTGGTATGTGCTCAGTCCAGGGGTTGATACTGTCTCTATTGAAATGTATCAAGGGCTTATTTGATGCCAGTCTCTGTGCTCAGGATTTTTCATACGTTATCTCATTTTAGCCTCCCAACGGCTCTATAAACTTGTTTCTATTATTATGATTCCCATTTTGCAGAGGAAGAAACTAAGGCTTAGAGGTATTAAGATACTTGTCCAAAATCACCATTAAGTGGTAGAGCCACGATTCAACCCTAAGAAGCCCGAGTCTAAAGCCTGCATCTTAATCCCCTTTGTTATTTCTGTTATGTCAGCAAATCCTGTTTGTTTCTACCTGAAACCCACTCTCTAAACCCAACTTCTTGCCACCTTCACTGCAACCTCTCTGGGCCAAGCTTATTTCAATAGCCTGCCAACTCGTTTCTCTGCTTTTGTTCCCGCACCTCTCTGCCATATTTTATTCTCAAATTAGTAGTCCGTGGATTCTTTTTCTTAAAAAGTCAGCACTATTGAGGTATAATTATCAGACAATAAAACTCACTAATTTTAAGTGTACAATTCAATGAGTTTTGGCAAATGTAAACAGTCAGGTTCACCACCCCCACAATCAAGATATGGAACATTGCCAGAGTATGTGTTTCTAATAAAAATTCTAAGTTAAATCGTGTCACCCTTCTGCTCAACATGTTCTAAGGGCTGGCATCTACCTTAAGTAAAAGTCAAAATTCTTACAACGTCCTACAGTGCTGTGGCAAAGGACAGGTTATATATTTACCAAACCTTTCATTTTCCTCCTGGCCACAAAGGAAGGCCATGTGTCTTATGGTCCTTGCATTTAGGTGGGGCCACGTGACTAGCTCTGGCCACTGGAAAGTGGGCAGAAATGATGTCCACCTCTCCTAGGTCTGGGGCCTAAAATTTTAGAGAGATCCCCACTGTTCCTCTCCCCACATTGCCAGCTAAATGTGGAGGACCCCAAGTGGCACACTGAGGCCTAGTGGATCCAGAAGTCTCTAGAAAGATGAATTGGGCCCATGGTCAGGCTGGGATGTGAAAAGAGATACACTGTTTCTCTGTTATGCCTCTGAGATGTTGGAGGAGTTAGTAACACAGCAGTGCATGTTGACTCTGACCAATACAAAGGGTCTGATTATTCTGGCCTCGGCCACACCTCCAACCCCATCTCCCAGTGCCCTGCTTTGAATTCTCTCCACTGCAGCCACGCCTGTCCCCAAGCACACTCCTGCCTCAGGGCTGTTGCACTTGCTGTTTGTGGTTGGCTAAATAATGGCCCCTCAAAATATAGCCATGTCCTAATTCCGGGATCTGTGAATGTCACCTTATATGGCAGAAGGGACTTTGCTGATGTGATTAAATTAAGGATGTTGAAATGGACAGATTATCCTGGATTACCCGAGTGGGCCCAATGTAATCACAAGAGTCCTTATAAGAGTGAGGTGGAGGGAGATTCGACTAGAGAAGAGGAGAAGGCAACACGGGGATGGAAGAAGAGATTGCAATGATGTAGCCACGGGCCAAGAAATGCCAAGGAACGCTGGCAGCTATCAGAAGCTGAAAGAGGAAAGAATGGATTTCCCCCCTGGAAGTTCCAGGAGGAAACCAGTCTCCTGACCCTTAAATGTGAGCCCCAGAAGACTCATTTCAGACTTCCGGTCTCCAGAACTGTAAGAGAATACATTTCTGTTGTTTTAAGCCACTTCATTTGTGGTAATTTTATTTATTTTTTGGCAGCAGCAAGGAACTAATCCACTGTTCTTTTTGTCTAAAATGCTCCTTCCCTGGAGAGCTGCATGGCCGCCCCCTTACCTCCTGTATGACGTTGCTCAAATATCTGTCACCTTCTCAGTCTCTCTCCTCTTACCCAGCTTTGTCTATATTACATTTCTTAGCAACATGATATACACTAAATTAATTTTGTTTAACGTCTGCATTCCCCACTAGAATAGAAGCTCCAAGAATGCAGGAACTTTGTTTGTTTTCCACTATGTCCCCAGCACTGAGAGCCATGCTGGATTGCCAGCAGGCAGCTGGGCATCATTTCCCCTCCTCTTTGCACACTCTTGTATCACAAGGGCTAGAAGCTTGGGAACTATATTTTCCAGAACCTCTAACAGGATTCCAGGTGTGAGTCTGCCAATGGCACACCTACCAGATTTGGAAGGTGGAAGAAAAGCTGTGTCTATATTATTCCTCTAGGAGCAATGGGCTTTGGTAAAGGTGAGATGTTTGCTGTGGCCTCTGGGTGTTTTCTGGCAAAGCAGACACCTTAGTTCTGGAGATAGCTACAAGCTGTCATTTTCTCAATTTCCTTGTTTCACGCAGCTTCTTAAGATTTAATTGGTTTCATCATTAATGTGTGTCCTTCTAGCCCTTCCAAAAGTTTTGTAAGCACCTTCTTTCTGGGAATTCCTACGATGGTTTCTGTCTTCCTGCCTGAACTGTCTGATGCAAGTCCTGGCACAGAATACGCACTCAATAAATATTTATTGAATGAATGAGCAAAGCTTGATATAGGGAAGTGGTTGGTCTAGAATGAATCCATACTGAATACAAGGGAGCATCCTCAGATACTAGAGACAGTGCCTTCAGCCATGTCTATCTTAGGGGTTTACTAAGACTTCAGTGAGCCTGGCATAGACTGCAGACCTATTCTGTAGGGCATGTGGAGTGTGCCATGTCTGTATTTATGCGGAAATTAACATTTTAGAAAACAGTATGGAGCTTATTCCATAATGTGGGTTTCATCCATTCTCAACTTATCCATTTTTAAAGTAAGTATTTGAGGTCTAAAGAGCTCTATCAGATATTGCAGAGGAAAGAGGGGTCAGAACTTGGCAGACCCTCTGAGATTTGTAGTCAAGGCTCTGGACCAGTCTGGAGGCTTCATGTGTGCAGAGCCTTTTAAGAAACAGCTACCACTTCCTAAGGGCTTGGCATGAGCTAAGTGTTCCTTGCTCAGTACTCCTTGTGCCCTGTCTCGTAGACTCTCTGCAATGATCCCATGAGGGAGGTATTACCTCTCCATTTTATAGATGAGGAAACAGGCTCAGAGAGGTTCAGGGACTTGCCCAAGGTCACTCAGCTAAGGCAGAGTAAAGATTCGAACCCAGGTCCCAGCAGGTCCTAACTACCTGCACTTTTTCTAGGACCTGCCCCTTCTTCCGTCTGATCCTTAGGCTTGGGCCCCAGCAGCCAGGTTTGTATGTACCTGGCAAGAGTGAAGAAGGGGCCTGCGTGCCCCATGTTCTTCAAGGCCCCTTCCTTTCCCAGCACTCACAGCTTCACTGCATCATCTGCCTTGGAGCTTATCCAGGCTAATCTCATTATGCCCTTTATCCTTGTTTTATGTTAGTCATCACAAAAATCCCCCAACTCCCAGTTCACCCCGCCCTCTGATATTCATTTGGCTTGTTATGCCCACCAAATAGGACTCTGACTCTCTCCTTCCCTATTCGTGAAAACCATCCACTGTGCTTTCTGTGGTTAGTTATCAGCAAAACATCCTGTATCCACACTCTCGTCCCTCCACGACCCCCTCACCTTCTTACACTAGTGGAAACATGCTTCCCTCTAAGGACACTTCTACCCCACGGCCCTCTCTAGTGGTGGCTTCTTGTTCCCGCAGCCCTTGAACCTCTAGGCCAGGTGGATGGGGAGGAATCCTCCTTGCCCATCATTACCACTTTCAGGTCGTTCCTTCTCGTGTGTTCCCCCAAAACTGCCACTGTGAAGTCATGTCCTCAGACCACACCCCTTTGATACTACTCCTTGTTGCAGTCACCTATGGACCCTTTGTCACCCCCCACTCCCATTCTGTGAAGATTTTAAAATCCTAGTCCACAGTTTCTCCAACATCACAATTCTTTTTTTTTTTTAGGGTTTTTTTTCTTTTCTTTTCCTTTTTAAACTTATTGGGGAACAGTGTGTTTTTCCAGGACCCATCAGCTACAAGTCAAGTAGTTGTTTCAATCTAGTTGTGAAGAACGTTTTTCTAGGACCCATCAGCTCCAAGTCAAGTAGTTGTCTTCAACATAGTTGTAGAGGGTGCAGCTCAGCTCCAAATCCAGTCACCGTTTTTAATCTAGTTGCAGGGCGCCCATCATCCCATGCGGGAGTCAAACTGGCAACCTTGTTGTTAAGAGCATGTGCTCTAACCAACTGAACCACCCGGCCGCGGATTGCAATATACAGAGGTGATCCTTCCAATAGCCTCTCACCTCACTCCCCTGACCTCCTTTCTTCCATCTTATCTCTACCATTCAGCCCCAAGGTCATACATCAGGGCTTACCTTTAGCCATAACTGTATTCCCTCTAAAACTTCAAGCATCTGCTTTCTAAACACCATCTTGCCTTTGCAGCTCACTCTGCTTTGGGTGCTGTTGGGTGGTCTCCAGTGGCCTCCAAGTGAGAGGAGGTAGAGAGTGGGGGCTGTTTCTTCTGGCTCAGAAGGCTCAGGGGGCATTTGAGGTTCAAGATTTCAGGCTTGTCTCTATAAATGTCCTTATCCCATGTGTCAGGGTCCCACTCTTGACAGACTTTAAAGACACCTGTGAGATCATGCATTCATGCCCTTGGCAGCTCTCCCCCTTAATAATCAAATTATTAAACGAAATCCTGGGGGGCCCAGTTTTCAGCCCTATGGCAGCATGAGATGAGTCTCCTTTGAAGATGCCACACGATGTTTTCAAATCATACCTTAAGTTGTCAATTAATTTCCCTGTGTCCACCATTTTCATTTTTGCAAGGCTTTTAAGGCGATCAAAAGCCTGCAGCCCTCGCCACAATCCTTATAATTCCCTCCAGGCTGATCAAGCCCCAAAGCCACTGGTTATCCCAACGCCTCACCTTCCTCCTGTACCTTATGTCATTAACCACAGGTTAAAGTGTAGTATTTGTGAAGCCCTGCATACTAGAGATTATCACCGCTCCACTTCCCACCAGGAGTGGGATCCCTACTATCTTCAGATGGATAGGCCATCCAACTCCTAAATCCCACCATGAGACCATGCCTCGTACCAACTGCCTTAGCCCTGGTTCCCAGATAGCAGAGCCTGAGACATACTAATGGAGAGTAATCCCAGGGTAGCAAGAGTGAGGGAAGTGGTGAGAGGCAGAGCAGGCATGAGAAAGTACAACGCCGAGCTTCGTAAAACACTTTTGTACCATGTGCAGCTGATGGCTAGTCTCAGGTATGCCTTGTGGACAGGACTACACATGCTATCTGAACAGACTGGTGACTCTCTAGTGGTGGGGAGGCAGTTAGAGAGGAAGTTTACCCTCAGACTCCTTCCCATCTCCTGTCAAAGTTTGCCCCTTGGGATGTCAACTGTCCTGCACTTCTGGTGGCTGGTGTCACTGACTCCGAAAACATCAGAAATCATGCCTTTCGATGCGAAGTTGTTCTCTGGGTACAGAAGTGGAGGGAAACTCCAGAGCATTCCTGGCACCCTACCATTTGTGGAGCACCACTATATATATATCAGGAGTTGCAACGAGCCATATCACGCTTTGTGGAACCCAGGCGCCCTGGCTGCAGAACTGCAAGGTCTCTGAAGCTGTAGCCCTTCTGGAGGGTCGATCAATGTGGTGGCAGCTGAAACAAAACAAGAAGTCAAGGATGCTAGAGGCAGCGGGGCCAAGAGCATTTGAGGTCACATGGGAGGTTCCGAGACACCCTGAGAAACACAGTTAGATTATGCCATTGCTTGGCTCAGAACCCTCCTCCTAGGGGCCCACAGACCCTACCCAACCTGATCCCCACTTCTTCTACTTCCTCTCATGCCTTACCTGCTCCAGTGGCACCAAGCTCCCTGTCTTTCCTCAAACCCACCATGCCCTCCCTCCTTTTTACCTGCTTTTCCCCGCCTGAAGAACTTCCCTCACATACCTGACTGTCTGTCTTCTTAATTCCCTTCGAGTTTCTTTTCAGATGGCACTTTATCCATGAGGCCTTCCCTGGCTATCTTGACTCCCACCAGCACTCTCTTTCCTTTTACCCTGCAGTTGTCCTGACATCTTCTGCCTTTAGTTGGCTGTTTCTTGTGTGTCTTCCTTGAGCTAGAAAGTAAGCTCTATGAAGACAGGGCTCTTTCTGTTATCCATGACACCTACCACAGAGCTTGGCACATAATAGGTGCTCCATAAATCTGTTGTTGACTGAATGAATGATTAAATAAACGACTACTCTATGGTCTCCATTCCCCCCAGCCATGGCTGATAGGCCAGAAAGGAACCCCTGATCCAAGCTGGGCCAATCCAAGCAAGGTTTCCTGTCAAGAAAAGTTGGAATTGGGCTTGAGACCTGGTGAGGTGCTATAAGGGGCAGAAATTCATACCTGTGAATACGGGGGATACACGGCGTTACCTTCCACCATGGGCCGGAGAAGTGGGAGGAGCTGGTCTGCAGAGAAATGAGATGTAAGGAGCCTGCCGAGGATGGAGAGAGGCCATATTGGCTCTAGTTCCCCGTTGGGGTCCAGGAGATACCCCAGGACCTTATAATAAATCCCTCTTTTCTGCTTAAGTTAAATGGAGTGGTTTTATTTTTCTTTGCAATTCAAGTCTTAAATATCAGCACTACCAATGTTGCTGTATGTATTGGGAGCTGTGTTGAACCTCATCATGCTCCGTGGGACCTGAGCAGGGCACTTCCTGCTGGCGTGG